GGGGGGGTTGGGTGGGTGGGTCGGTGGGTGGGTAAAAGGACGTGTGAAAACACACGATAAATGACGCTCAAGTACAGATGATGTGTACTCCATGACATTGACTCGTCAAGGATGAAGCCAAACTGGTTACCTAGTCATCGTTTTCTATAAGCATAGCCTCAATGAAAAGAATTGCTAGGCTAGAAGCAACAAGGCATAGGACGACAAACAACAGCAAGACACATAGGTTGGAGGGCATGGGGGAGGCATGGAGAGATAAAGCAGCAAGGCAACAAGGCATTGGACGACATCCGGCAGCAAGGCACAGAGGTTGGAGGGCATGGGGGAGGCGGGAGGGCCGTCAACTCACCCACGCAGAAAGCAGGGAGAAGGCAACAACAACAACGGAAAAGAAAAGAATCAGCGGGCACAGAGAAGCAAGGCAGAAGCAGTGAGGCAACACATATGTTAGGCTGGAGGACGTGGGAAAGGTGGGTGGGGGGCAGAGAGCACACACGCACAGAAAGCAGGGACAAAGAGAACAACCATCAAGCAAGAAAGAACACAATTCCCAAAATAGCAAAGACTGAAAGAAACAAAGAGCTGATGACGAAAGGTTGTTTCGTCGGACTTGCAATGGCTCGTCAGGAGGCTGAACCCTCGACAATCTGCAGAATCCCCATATGGATGCTTTGGATCATAAACCCTTGAGCCTGGTTGACCACGGACTCCGCCTACAAGCACAAACACAGCCAGAACATGGCAGCGGGCAATGACTGAACGAAGCTCCAGGCAACAGTCGTGGGACCACCCAACTGCACAACGCCGAAAGAAACTGCATGCAACAAACGGCGGAACCAAATGAGCAGCATGGCAACAGTGCTGCAGTGAAGCACAAGGCTACACCAACGATTGAAAGCAGCCAAACCACATGGCACACAAGCACATGATGCAGAAAGGCAAGGCACGTAGGTGGGCAGCAAAGGGAAAGCGCAGCGAAGCACAAGGCAACACCAGCACCGCAGCCAAGCCACACAGCAACACACCAGCTGCAAAGAACGACGACATGAGGAGTAAAGGGGATCGGCAGCAAGGCAGCCGTGGAGCACAGACAAGGCAGTGCGCACATCCAAGACCTACTCACATCACAAGAAGAACCCAGCAGACTGTTGGTTTGCCTGCTGAGCGAGGAAGCCACTCCGATGGACATCTACCATCACCCATATAGCATATGCACCCTAAGATTATGATAGTCATCACAAACAGTGTGGCCCCCCCGTAGAGTCTTGGAGTCACTCCAAACAGCTGATCACCGACTGTTTAGCACACCTTGAAGGTGCTCACTGAGACACAGAAAGCCCTAAGTCTTCGAAGAAAATCAAGAAAGAGGAAATACAAACATAAAACTGATTGTGTGTGTTGTCATATTCGCTACACACTCAAAAAGAGCATGACTGCGCCAGACTGTTTCGTCGGACTTTACCGACTCATCATCACCCATATAGCATTTGCACTCTAAGCTTATGATAGTCATCACAAAGTGTGGCCCCCCGTAGAGTCCTGGAGTCACTCCAAACAGCTGATCACCGACTGTTTAGCACACCTTGAAGGTGCTCACTGAGACACAGAAAGCACTGTGTGTTCGAAGAAAATCAAGAAAGAGGATTTAATACAAACATAAAACTGATTGTGTGTGTTGTCATATTCGCTACACACTCAAAAATAGCATGACTGTGCCAGACTTTCGTCGGACTTTACCGACTCATCAGGAGGTTGTGTGTTTCGCCGGACTTTCACCGACTCGTCAGGAGGTTGTGTGTGTGTGAGATGAGTGACAAGACCACTGCCACCTGTGTTTTACAAGTGCGACTAAAACCCATACCAGGACATGCATCCCAAACATGAGAAACAATAAGAATATTATGCATACACCAGCCTCAATCTTCCACCAACCCTAAATATTCAAAGGGCTCTAGCCCAGGGGTCCTAGGCCACAAGACGGCAAGGAAAAAGCAAAAGGCAGCGAGCCAAAAGCGGAAAAGCAAAGGCAGCAAGGCAAACATCAGCAAAGCAGCGGACATCTAACCAACCATGCGAGCAGCATGGAAAGATAAGGCAGCAAGGGTTGAAGGTAGCACAGCAAAAGAAAGCAGCAAAGCAACAATGCAGCGAGCCAAGAGCAGCAAGGCGAATCGCAGCGAGGAAAAAAGCAGCAAAGCAACGGACAAGCAACCGATCAGGTAAGCAGTATGGGATGATAAAGCGGCGAGGCAAAGGTAGGTAGCAAGACAATGCACAGTGACGCAAAGGGAGGTGAGGTGTCGAGGTGTTGAATAAGAAGCAGTTGCAAGGCACATAGGCGGGTGGGCAAGGCGGAAACAAACAGCACAAAGCAGCTAGCAAAAAGGCACAAAGTGCAAGAGCCACACTGAGAAGAAATGACAACAGCAAAAAGACAAAGAGCAAAAGGAAAATTAAAACTGATGGTGATAGATTGTTTCATCAGAATTCCACCAACTCATCAGGAGGCTGAATCCTCGACAATCTTCGCAATGCCCATATTGATATGCTTTGGGTCATGAAGACTTTGACTCTTTGTTGAAGGCGTACAGCCTGCAGCACAAGCAGCGAAGCAACAACGCAGCGAGGCACAAGGCAGCACTGGCTATGAGGCAAACAGGCACACCGTACGGGAAAGACAAGGCAAGGCCATCAGATGGGAAGCTAGGCAACAGCACAGTGAAGCCCAAGGCTGCAGCGAAAATGAAGTAGCGAAACAGTACAGCACGCAAGCACACTGCATGGAAAGACAAGGCAAGCAGACGGGTAGCACAGCAACAGTGCAGCGAAGCACGCAGCAGCACCAACACAGCGGCCAAACTACACTGCACACAAGCAAGGTGTGTGGAGAGGCAAGGCACGCGGCACCAGCACAGCGACGGACAAGGCAACACAACAATGCAGCCAAGCTACATGGAAAACACACCAGGTGCAAGAGGATAGACATGGGAAGCAGAATGCAAAGCAAGGCAGCAGCGGAACGTGGACAAGGCAGTCCACATGTCCAATACAGAGCACCACAGAACATGATCTACTCAGACCACAAGTGAAACCTGCAGACTACCTTCTTCCCCCGAACATAACGCATATGCGCTGTATTCGAGTTTTTTTTAATTGAAAAAAATCAAATATTTGAATAGAGCGCATATGCGTTGAAATTGACAATGAGCGCTATTCGAATAGAACGCATGTGCACTGTATTCGAATAGAACGCATTGCAATGCACCCTATGCGTTGTATTGGAATACAACTCGTACGCATTATGTTCGGGTGAGGACGGTAGTGGTTTCCCACCACCTGCTGGGCCAGGCAGTCGCTCCGACGAAAACCTCCTGACCCATAGAGTCCCCCTAATAGAGCTGTAGGCACTCACAAACAAGGGGTCACCGACTATTTGGCACTGCTTATAGGTGCTCGCATAGAAGCAAAAGAGTACTCAGAAAAAAAAAAACAGGACGACACACAATGTCATGCAAAAACACGGAGAAACACATGAAACTGGTTGTGTGTGTGTGTGTGTGTGTGTGTGTGTGTGTGTGTGTGTGTGTGTGTGTGTGTGTGTGTGTGTGTGCGTGGGTAGTTGGGTGAATGCATGCATGCATGCAGATATGGATGCATGTTCGATTGCAACACTGGGAATCCTCTTTGTGCATGCCTACAGACCTCTGCATGCTCATCTTTATTCGCTTGAAATACTGTCTACAGGCTGGGACCCTATCCTGACCATTGTCTATGGGGAAGAGATGTAGGCCTGTTTAGTGTAAACTCGGTGCCCATGCAATGCGCGGTGTGTCAGTCGTGGGGCTAGTCCAAGTAGTCTCACCAGCACTGTTACCTACAATAGCGAACAATAGGGGGGACCATTGCAAAAGCTAGGGGTGATCAACGATCGCGAAACAGAAACAGCCAGATTGAAACCGACTAATTTGGCCCAAAAAATGTCAATTTTTTTGGCTCCTGGGAGTTCGGCATCCTAAAAATGCCGGACTCTCTGGACATATCTGTCTGGACCTCAGCTTAAATCCATCGTTTTAAGAACGCCGGACCCCTAGGGATCTTAAGCCGCCAGTGCCTTTCCCAACTATGGGCCGCGGGCCCTGCGCCCCGAGTTTTGGTGGCGCATCTGGCCGCCGCTGGAGGCCGAGTGCAACCTCCGTGTTAATCGGCGCGTTTCGGCAAGTTGGCTGGGAAAGGTACTGGTGGTTTGAAGTTTCCCAGTGTTGTTGCTGAAGCTGTTAGTGCAGTGGTGGAACGGAAATGTGCGTGGCGCGAGTGCAATGAAGAGTTTTGAGGCTGACGATGGCTTGTTCTGACATCTCGGCTACGTGGCCAAGCAGGCGGGCTGATTGGTGACTGGCTAGCTCGCTCGCGGACTGGCAGAGTGGCAGGTGACTTGGCCTGTTGACAGTGAGGCAAAGCCAGTAAGATAAATAGTCAAAGAAGCTGCCAGGGTGGGAGAGAAGGTTAACGGAGACCCCAATTTTCAGACCACTTGCCATGCCATTTATATGAAAACCAAAGGGTCAGGGGTGGAGTAGACAAATGGGTAGAGATGAACAGGCGTACATACAGACAGCCAGATCGATGGATAGACAGGTACTACAGAAACTAGCACACAAGCAGAGAGACAGACAGATATTTAGATAACCATGATAGGGACAGACGGAGGTTTAACCTCCTGATGAGTCGGTGAAAGTCCGACAAAACAGTCTGGCACAGTCATTCTAAGGGAGCGCTGCTCTTATCACCATCCCTAGCACCCCGCCCAGTTTTCAACAACAAAAAAAAAAACATAAACAAAAATAAAAAGACACGGTGACACCTAAGAACTGTGTCCTCTGTCCAGCCATGGCCCCAACCTCTGCTCTACTTCTGTGTTAAAACTGTACTCATCACTAAATGATGCAACGAGCAAGACGAACCACTCCAAGGGCGTGAGACACAAAACTTGACGAGCGCCTATAACATGATATGAATGAAATGTTATCACCAAGTCTGTTTTCCATTTCAGGAGGACTGAGCAAGTGACTTGCTGGTTTCCGCACAATGGGTCTCAACAAAGTCACTGTGTCGATCGATTTCAGCCAGCCGTAGTAGTTTTCTTTTGCTGATTTCTGAAAGATGGATCGCATGAGGACATTGAGGTGGATGCGCACTCAGTCTGCCAGTGGTCAAAAGTTACAGCCTTTCCGTGAATGGAATGTGGGGTCGGCGTATTCATATTTTGCCCCTCAAAGATTGGCACGGATGCAGACATAATGACCTTGCTTTCTATTCGGGGGAAGATGGTCGCAAATTGTTCTCCTCTTTCCTGTTTCCTCTACTTAGATATGGAAAATCCGATTACTGCTTTTTGCTCTGCCGAAAAAAGAGGCAAAGGCGAGGTAGTGATTGCCACTCTGTATCCTTCACATTGGCACCCCATCATTCCACGTTTCCTCCTCATTGACGCATGCTCAGGGGAGCAATGCGCAGTAGACCAAGGATCTGCAATGTGATGAAAAGGACTGAAGTGAACAAAGCAATGTCATCATAGCATCAACAAGCAATGTACACCTCGATACATACAAATGGCACAATGTGGCGCAGCGGAAGACTCAAAGATAAGATCTGATCTGACCTGGACTGACCCGACATCCATCGGACATCACACATGTGAGATAAGAGGAGGGACCGCAAACACGGAAGAAAGGTCCCTCCTTCATACGCAACATGGGGGAGATACCACGGATGAGAGATGGGGGAGGGATGAGACGAAGGAGATGAGAAGCGAGAGAGTAGACCCAGATCGCAATGGCGAAGTCCAAAATAGTCTCTTGCCGAATGTCCCAACAATGTCCGTCCCAGAAATGTCGAATCAGATC